CTTTGTAGAGGGCCGCGGGACTGCTCAGTAATACGTTTTGATAATCGCCTGGTCGTATGTCCAATGTGTCGCACACCACAAGTGCACGTGAAAAGATAGAGAACGAAAGATTTGAACTAAAGAGACAACTTATCTTTAATTTACTGGGACACCAAGGGCCGAGTGGTAGTGAGGATATGCGGTTGAGCTGCAGGGTACGTTCTAGAGATCGCTTTTGATAAGCGTCCTTTAAGAAGTTCCAGGGCATCGTCGCCCTTAAACGGCACAGTAAGGAAAACGTTCTTGTGAGGAACGGTGGGGATTTTGCTCGGGTTGGTCTTCAAACTTATATGTTTACAAATACAAGCTTCCGGGTAACTATTTGACCGAAGTACGTCATGAATAAAACGTATCTCGGACTGCAGTGTATCCTCGCTGCAAATCGCACGCGCTCAGTATGATAGACATCTGATCTATTCGCAGCTCGGTTCTCGGTCATCTCGTCGATAGTGGGCATTCTGTGAACAAATTGGATGCATTCAAAATTATTCACACTATACCCCGGAGACATTCAAAAGGGATAAGAAGGCGGCTTTTGACCACGGCTGAGGCGATTGCAATCCGAATTTTCAATTCAGAATTATGTAAGCAAAAAACTGGTCGACACTGTTGTTGCCCTGGCCTTGTCAGCGGATTGATTGTGCATAAAACAGAGCATCAACCGCCCCCTCCCCGTCCCTCTTTCCTCGTCTATAGTATGACCAATCTCAATCTTAAGAACTAATTATCTTGTTTTTGTCTCTAATGTCCCTTCCTGATTACATCACTTGCTATGCATGACCTATAGTTTCTACCGTATATTACGTAACTTCACGAGGACCTGCTGTTCAACGATAGAAACCGGTAACCTAATCCCCGGGACTTGGGGTGGCGAATCACTTAAGGCCCCCATACGCTAGGGGTTAATATTGAACCGAAGACAGCAAAGTTGCCTACCACCAAAGCTGGGCGGTGGTGGCGGTGGCGGGGCTCGAACTCCCCGCCCCCCCCCGGGACCATAGGGTCCAAAGCACGCTGGTGACAGCGAGAAAAACCACTGTGCTATCATCGTGTTCTGATGGATATCCTGAAAAGGCATTCGTTCAACCGGAGAGGACAAAACGGAAAAGATTTGCATGGCTAATTACAAATAAACCAAAGGGAGCGCGCGCACTCACTTCGACAGCATCCGGATCGGGTTTAACGGTCGGTTTCGAGCCAGCATTTTCTGTCTGTCCATTTTCACACCCGGCTGCATGCATCAAGGTTTGATAGGCCGCGTACGATGGTGCCACGTGGACACGACGCAAAATGCATCGGGCCTCATTCTCATCGTGATGTTCCGTGGCGAAAACAGCCCCTTTGAATTGCATCAACCGTTCGCCGTCCGCGCCGGCTTCACTCATGTTGTAGTACCTTATAAGGAACAAAGAAAGAAAACGATGATTCTGTTCCTTAGGGGTTTGTGAATATTTTGGAATACGATTTCTTTCTAATTTAGGAACCATTCGAATGTGATATTTCCGCCATCAGTCAGTGGGAACGGTGAGCATGCAAACGGTGCCCATGCGAGCGAGTTATCCAGTGGGTTGAGGTTGGTTTTTCTCTCACACTGTGATCGACATGGCCCCGTCCATTTTGGCACACCAGTTTTCATTCGGATGTCAGCCGCATCAACACACAAATGTTGTTTGATTGCAACCCGGTGTGTCGACCCTCGAGTCATCATCCGCGGTGAGGCAGAGTTCAAGATTAGATTGGGGTCATTGCACAACTATGGAACCCGGTCGGTGAGTACTGCTGCATACCATCCAGTTGCTTAAACAAACTATTCGTTCAGTTAGTGTACGCTTGTTTATCTATCCACCGGGTTTACCATGGTTCTTTTATGGTCCGGAATATTTTTAGTTGGGACAGTTTAAGTCTCGGAAAAATAGGCTTGTCTCTTCGTTTGTCTAAATTGATTCTAACTATCTGGTGAGGTTTAGTTCGCTTTAGTGAAGGTGAATTTATGGAGGAACTGGGAAGTATTGTGCAACACAGGCATTAATCATCTCATAGTTCCATGAGGCAGGACCGGGCTGGAGAAAGTTCTTTACTTGAAAGAACGATAAGAGAATTGGCAAACTGGGTTAGATAGACCGAAACGTCTCATCTGAAACAGATCAATCATAATTTCGTCAAGGACGCAAGTTTTTTTATGGAGCAGTCATACAGATAGGTGAGCATTTTCTGTAGCTACAGTTTTGCACACACTAATTCTCTCCAGGGGGTTTTGTTCATTTTTCGACCGTTGTAAGAAACTGTCAATCACATCCTCTTGCGAGCGCACTAAACATGCTACTCACAAACGTGATCAGTAGTAAATCACGATACTGGGACCGAGTTTTCCCCCTCAGCAATGCACCTGCATGTAATAATAGTGCTTCTAAAGGAAGAGAGGGGAATGGCAATGGTTTTATGAGGTGGTGGACCAAGCTGGCACCTATCACGATGCCTTCAATGGATGGTTGTGGTTTCATCACTGTTGACAGTGAGTTAACCAGGTGCTGGGCATTACTGCTGATTGTCTTCTATCTTCTTTCAGTGGAGCAACTGGTCACGATTAATTACCAGTGTTCGTTCTGCTATTAGCCATCTGGAGATGCATCCCGTGTTATGAAGAGCAGTGCTGCTGATAGTAGACCGTGGCCTCTGACACGTAGTCTCTCTCTACAGATGCCAGTGCATAATGTACGCCTTCTTTTAGAAATCCCATTGTTCCTATATTCAGTTACTAGGGCATGTTTTCGGACGATATCAACACACTGTGGTGCTGCAACCTGCTTCCCACGTAGTCTCTTTCATTGCAAGCCTACTCTGTACCGTGTCAGCATACCACTTACGGATCTAGAAATAACACGTACAGCTGTTTTATCCAGCCTATTAGGAATCCGAACTAACTATCGATCGACCTTGTGTCAACCTCGAATACGGACATGTGACGATCACAAGAAACCACTAGACTATGCGAACTAGCCCTGTCTCATTCTTTGGAAGTTGAATACTGCCAATCAGTTAGCACCCACTTACTGCATTGATAATGTCACCTCCATTGGTGATGAAACGTTTGCAATCTAGTTACGAAGTTCGGCAAAACAACTAAACATCAAGTTAGCACTCTGTCCTCTGGATGATAACCAGGGAGACTGAGTGCGAGTGCGGTCCACATTGGTGAAGCAATACAAACACGACATTGTGATACAAATAGCTTACCAGGCAGCAATCACCACGGGCGCGTCCATCAGATCGTCCCAACGTATTGCTCGAACCTCACCCAAATAAACTTCATCGTGGCCCGAGCTGAACTCGACAGAATCCCCGATGGATATGATCAGGCCGTCCGTTTGTCGGACAATCGATCGACATGAGACGCCGCGCTGTTTACGGCGACGAACCTGGAGGAAAGCAAACGAACGTGGTGGTGGGATTGTAATCATGGAATTATTCTCCCGATTCATCATCATCATCATCATCCGATCACGCTTTGTAATAGCCAAAAAGTCTAACTGCTTGCCAATTTACTGAGTTAGGATTGAAATCATGCGGTATCAAGGCTTTCACGAGAGAAAAGCCAAACGTGGATTTGCACAGTCCTGCAAGTCCCAGTCCAGTTCCCCGTATCTGTACATATACTTTTTTTAGTTTACTTTTTTATTGAAAATACAATGATACAATTTTCAGGAGGGGGAGTGACCGATCGAATAGCTGCCATACATATTAGTGTCAAGGTAATTTTTATAGTTGGCGAATTAGCGAAAGTATTACCTGATTGTCATTATGGACGATGATAAGCTAATCGACAATTTTGTTTCTGAAGCCTTTCTAAGTTTTTCAGCATGATAAAGGCAGGATGGAGAATTTCTGTCTCATTGCCTGCGTGCACTAGCGTGGGTGCGGAATAGTGAGCAAAATTTTGTTTGCAGGTGATGCTAATTTCGTTCTTTGACAGTTCAATATTGTCAGATTACTCATGAGTAGCATAATTATAAATGAGAAATATCAAACAACCCATAGCGACTCACTTTATCTAATATGTGCCAGACAGGCTGCTGTTCACTAGCGCTACTCGTCGTTGACACTGTGTCTGATAGGACTTCATTATCCATCAACGGACTACTATGTCGATCTAGGCGATTCAAGTTGCATTCAGCACTTGGTTCGTCAGGGGTAGAGATCAGTGGTAGTTTGGTTGTCCGGAATGCTTCGTCGTGCATGTGGGCATCACCTGAGTTCGGAACAGATTGTTCATCACTAGGGCATTCTTCTAAGGCGGACAGTGTGGGACTGATGGCGGAGGGATGTCGGCGTTTTTGCGAGGATGAACAGGAAGCGGGTGACGAGACGCGTTCGAAAGATGAAGGTTGTCCTGAGATGGTAGGCTCCGTGGGATACCTTGCGCTGGAACAGGACGCTTCTGGAAAGAGAGATTAATCGCATCAGGAGGAAATGTTCCATATGGACTGGTGTCACTGAAAACCGGTATTTCTCATAAACCCCGAATACAGGGAGAAAAGTTAACTTTAGAGTTATGACTGTTTTGCCGGGTGCCGGCTCACGTCAAACTGTGCTACTTCCAGTCAAGTCATTAGTAGCTTTATTAACCCAGATGGGCTTGAAGCAAGTTTTTTTTATCACACATCTGCGTGTGACAAACAGCAGATGGGGCGAACCCCATAGTCACGAGGACCTGCTGTTTAGTGATGGAAACCGGCAACCTAAGCCTCGGGACTAAGGTTGGCGAACCACATAAGCCCCCGATAGGTTAGGTGTGGTATTGAACCGGGCGACAGCAGGGCTGCCTACCACCAAGTGTACGCAAGGATCAGGAAATGATGATAAAAATTAAAAGAAAAAAACACTTATTTGTGTCCAGACCGTGCAAAGAACAAATCACCGTAGAAAATTTTGCAAAATGGTAGATCAGTCCAATATTTTCTCAAGTACTACCAGTTCAAAGGGGACACGTTTTCTTGAGGAATCATTCACAGCCCGGTACTTTTGGCTAGCTAAAGCGTAACGTACTAGGTTAATGGGCTGCCTGTGAAAACTGCATTCCATTAGGCAATGGTGTCCATCCGCTCAGATCACAAGCATCTTTCTGGCGTGTTTCACACATGCCGTATTTGCAGCTGTGTGAAAAATGTTCGTGAACTATCTTTTCACTTTCGAAGACTCAGATAATACAACGCCAAAATAAAAAATAATCTCGTTGTTTGTTTATCATTGTGTTTTTCCTATCCGTCTTTATTATTCCCCTGTGGTCTTTGCCGATCTACTCAGGACAGAATTCAAAATTATTCCTCTCGGTCTGTCGATTATCTTTTTTGTCTTTTATACCCATTAATGATCGATCTAAAAACTGTGAAATCTTTGCACAGAAAATCCTCTCTGACCGCGCTCATTCTTTATATTCAAATGCCGGTCTTATTCATCAACGCATATTGTTTACTGCCTCTCACATTAACCTCTACAGAAATTCTACATTTCCTGATCTTGCTAGAATCCTTGCAAACCGACAGCACATGTCCTGTGAATTTCTCGTTTCTCGTGAAACCGCGTGCTTACTCTGACCCGCCAGATGCAATGAGTGTTCCGGGTAGACCATAAGCCGCTTGTCACCCACCAGTATTGTAGCTTTATCGTGGTTCAATTCAGTTTGATTCACTGCTAGATAGAGCTGGTTCACGGGTGGACGTTATTATTATAGTATGAAATGCATTAGAAGAGGAATGAGAAAATGGATGTAACTGCATAATTGTTTCAACTATTTAGGGTACCATTAGGGATGCAAATCTACCGATCCATCGGGGGGCGCCTAGTCGTTTGTTTCAAACCGCGAGTCATTCTGGACCAATTCCTAATAAAAACTGTCAAGTGATTTTTGAGGAGACTATAGGTTTATTCTGAGAAAATGTACCTTTCTTATCTGATACGGATTCGAACTTGACCTGATCCATTGGGGAATCTGGTGGTTCTGACTTTCTCTCCCTCTGAACTGATATACTGGGTACACGTTGTACGGTACGAGCCGCTCGTTTGGATCGGATAAACTCGGTCAGATTGGACGAATTCATCCGCGTACAGGGTTGATCGATCGCGCTGTGATGACGTACGCGTCCTGTCGTGGTTGGTCGTGCACTCTCAGCCCCGTTCAACGCAGCCTGGTCCACATCGGATTGACGACTGGTCACCCCCAAGTTGAAATCCGTGACCGAGGGCAACAAATCACTTCGACCCAGACCTCCCGGATCGTTTGTGACTGAGGCTAGTTCGTACAGATTGGTAAAATGATCGGGGAGAATGCGAATATGCGGAACTGAAACCTGGCGTCGATCACCGTCATCGAAACTGACCGGGACACAGTTCGGTTGGATTTCTTCTTTTGGTTCGGCTAGCCCAAGTGTGTGTAGGAGGGGGGGGAGGAAGGGTGGATGGACGGATGGTTAGCATCAGAAAGAATTGAGCACCAAGCACAATGAAGCGATCGAATTTTCACTTGCAAATATTTCATCTTACTGAGCCAGTGAAATAAGTGCAGGATACACAGAACACGTGTACCTTGCTTTCTGAGTAGGTTGTCTGTTTAACATACTGGTTATTTTGTATCCAAATCGGTTATATGTCAAGCCAAGTCAAGTAAACCTGTATGCACCCAATAGGATGAATTTTCAGCACTTTCGATAGTGAGAAAAACTGAAACAAGCTTTTCCCGTGATAAATTTGAAAAGAGAAGCCAGTATAGCAACATTACACGAATTATGTCCTGGACGATTTTGCTGCATCTCAATTGATGCCTACTGCAGACAAATACAATGTTTTTAATAGGGTTTTGGAATGAATTATAAAATGAACACTTGTAATCAAACGATGGAAACCAATTCTGTGTCAACTAAAAGACTTGTTCATCACCTTGGCTTTGCCTTGGTGACTCCTCCGCCCATTTACAAGGGTTTATCTTGTAGTTCATTCCCAAACCATACGTAAACATTGTATTTGTCTGCAGTAGGCACCAGTTGAGATGCAGAGAAATCGTGCACTGTTGCTACACTGGCTTCTCTTTTCAAAAGTGGGGAAAACGTTAAGCATTGGAAAAAGAAGAAACTATACATTTACTAAATGAAAAACAAATGGATGTGATAAAATCCGAATGTGAGATATGATTATCCTGGTCAGCAATAACAATTGCTGAGCTGACCATGATTCGAGCAAAATAAGGGATCATGCTGTTTTAGTGTGTGGTGATGCGCGCACAAAGAATCCAAAATTGGGAACGGGTACTCGGATGAGACACCGATTTGTTGAGATAGGCATACAGACAGTGTTCTTCATTGAACAGAATATGGCTGATAAATCGATCGCATGAGTCAAAATGCTTGCTTACAATAAAGTCAACCAAAACGGTCTTTGAAATGCCACTGCAACGAGGAGGAAGTTTAAGAGATCTGGAAAAGGGAATGAAGTCTTTCTCTTTTGAACTGGAAAATATGGTGGGAATTCGTGCAACCGGTGTGGAAGAATGCAGGTTAACACAAATTCATGAATTACACTCGGGGGAAACGCCGAGCTTTCTAAGCCTAAAAGCGTAGAAGAATAGCCTACGAACCCTTAATGTATATGCTTTCAACATGTTTGGACCGAGAAAGATTGTGACAAAGTAACTGCAAAATATTTGACAGAGTTAGCTTCGGGGATAATATTATCATTAACATAAAGTTCAGGCTGATTACCCAAAATTGCTTGATAATGAGTGCCTGTTTTAAGGCTAGAAGAAACATCTAAATATTTATCTACGTTGAGCCTTAAAGATTTGAGAGTCGAGCAACTAAAAATGTTATTGAGATAATCTTGAAGTTGACAGAAGGAGTTCGGAGCAGTCAAGGGACAACTGATCACTACGTCAATAGCATACTTGCATGCGATAAAGTCGGGAGGGATGGGAAGGTTCTTAATTTACAGTGAGAAAAGAAATGGAGATAAAGCAGCACCCTGAAAAACCCCAGAGTTACTTTATAGCAGGGAGGAAGATTCGCTGTTACAAAAAGTGAATTGCATCCTATGAGTGAAGTAATTGATTTCTGGCCCGGTGTTCCCCGCCCGCTCTGTGCTCTTTCACACGAGGAGAGTGAGATAGAGGCATCGTGTTCTGGTTAACTGTAGTTCACCATCGGTCGGGAGTGATTGTGATTGTTTGACGAGACACGAATAATGTTTTTTTTTCTAGCTCATTTTCATATACTGAATATATGTCAATGTACATGCACTTTTTAGAGGGGATACGGTCAATAAGTGATTGCGTACGACAATAATTAAGATGGAACTACTTTCATTCGTGTCGGAAAGTGTGTGTAACGAAGCGACAAAACCTGTGATCATTTGGTGCGTTTGAACTCATCATCTGCTGAAATTTAGGCCTAGACAGGGCTTATCGTCTGGCAGCAAGTTGCGACACAAACAGACCAGTACGCCGTGATATGTCTGGCGCTTGTTCACACTCGATCGATTTTTCGATGTTCTTCTATCCCCAGATGAACGATTGTACGAAAACCATCGAACTGGCACAAACACGTGAACTGAGTGGGATAGCACTTTGCGTTTTGAGTTTAATACTCCGTGTTTACGGTTGTCTGATGCCTCGTAGTTCGTTTGGAAAAACTGCTCGTTTGTGCACGCTCAAATCACCTTGTAGAAAACGAGGTGGCGGCAAAATTGACCAAAGCTTAAATCTGCTTACGATTTTCTACCGCCCCCCTCGTCACACCACCGCCACCACTCGCGACCCACTGTTCTTAACGAATTGCAAATCGCTTTTCTCTTTTGAAAATCTACACTAGTTTATAAAACTCAGTCCACAGTAAAAGGTGACATTAATCGAAAAATGGATTGTTCAATCAAGATCGTAAACGCGATGCACTGATTGTGTAGTACATGGACCGATACTTCGTGTCTAGTCTGGAGAACAGATTAAATTCGACACTTCACAGATCTGGGTAACATCGTTTGTTTTTATTACACTCCAATGTGTGGTGAATAGCAGATGACGAAGACCTGCTGTTCAGTGATGATAACCGGCAACCTAAGCCCGGAGACTTGGAGTGGCGAACCACGTAAGGCGCCACTAGATCAGGCGTGGTATAGAACGGGACGACAGCAAAGCTGTCTACCACAAAGGTTGGATGGCGTTGACCGGGCTCGAAACACAGGGTCCAAAGCACGCCGGTGACAGTGACTAAACCAGTGCGCTACCTCCACCTCCACTGATGTGCAGTGAACAATTCACCGTGTGACCTGACTGATTGTCGCCGTTAAAAAGAGTCGAGGTCGCACGCCTTTTGTCGTGTTTCCATTCGCGTGAGAATGCGACAAACTGATTTAATGGTAAAACTGATTGTGAAAAAATAGTGCGATCACCCGTTCATGCTACGCTGTCAACCGAGGAGATAAAGAAAATAGTCGTGCACGTTAATTATGCATATAGCAAAATGGCTATATTTCACATTCGTCTGGATCGGTACACTGTATTCAACAACCCGTCCTGCGTATGATCATGTAACGCTAATTTGTATATGGTCCTGTTCGGAACGGAGAAGAGCGGCTGACCAAGATAAAACAACGAACGTAGTACATACGAAACAGTTCCAAAACATTTGATCGTGTGAATCACGAAATACTACCATCAAGACTACACCACCGTCGCCGCCTTAACTTTTCCCCTCCTCTGTGACGCCTGCGGCGCCTAGGTGGCTGAAACCCACGCCATTCCTGAAGGTTATTTGTTCAAAGATTATAATTACTGATATTGCGATTAACCATAGAACCCAGGGTCTGATATTTGGTTGGATAGAACAATTTACTCGATCAGTTACCAAGGCCATTCAAGTTTCTGATTCATCCTATGAGCCTAACCCGCCAGATTCCGAGAGTGCTCCTAGTCCTTTACTCGATTTTACCAGTGACCTACCGGACACTCTGGAATCACAAGAAAAAATTACTTGCAGATGATACCACAATGTGGAATATCGTGAAAAAACTCGAGCGCTCATTAGCACTCACACGAACACGGAGTGAAGTACGCACACATAGAGAATGACAGTACAGTCACTGAGTAGAAATAAGCGGTCATTACCTCATAAGAACCGGTGTCCAAACTTCCTCAAAAATTAACAACTTTCAGACGTCTCGGGTGAAGAGGACCTCAGCGTTATCGTCGCCGTTCAAGAAGACTTAGGCTGTTCCATAAACCGTTCTAATGCACAATCCACAGCTGTAAGTTATGTCCACCCCACGTAAGTATGTCTTTGGCAGATTTGAATCAACGTTGTTTCCATTTTAAGTATCGCGGTATACCTTTGATCACGTAAGATGGGGGTACGCAATTCGAAACGGAGCGGCGTGGCTACAACGCGATTGGGAATGTCCACAAACGAGGGCCAACACTCGTGTGGATAGATTGAAATCAGCGGTCCGTTTATATCCCATTCATTATCGCCAAATGAGGAGAATGTTTGGCATCTAAATGCGATGGAAACGTTTGTGATAAAAGAGCAGTGGACAGCTGTTTCATCCTGTTTGGGACTCGTTACCAGTGCACGTACTTTTTGTGTCCCCGTGTCAGAACTCGAACCGCGATTGTTCGGGAGTGAAACCCACAACCAGCATCATCAACAGTGCCTGGTGCCTGTGAGAAACCGAATGGGCTAATCCAAATACTCACCAGCTAAAAACATGTTTGATATCAGTTGATCAAAAACTGCAAAAACCCTAACCACACGTTTCATCCGAGGTTCACATTATCGATCAGTATTCAGTTACCTCAAACGACATGTGTTCAAGTTAGTTTTCCAAAATATCAGCTGGAGTGGCCAACATCATTTCTTGAATGCCAGCGTGTTCGGTACTCAAAAAAAATCCCAACCGTCTAACGTGTTGTTTGCGTGTTTACAACTGACCGGTTCAAACAAAGAGAGAGGCCTGATGTATTATCATTGGCATGTGTAACAACATTTCAGCATCCATGAAACAGTATAACCATGTGATATTTCTCAAACGTGCAAACTGTGTACACAGTGGTTCTCATCTCTCACTCTCTATTTGTTTTGTGCCAAAAGCCCTAGGGGACAAGAAACACCAAAGAATGATGAACATTTCACATAACAAAACTTGAATTTTTAAATCTTAAACAGCCAAGTGATCCCTTCATGAGAAACACTTGAGGCCAGATGTCAGTATGATTTTCATTGAAACACCGTTCGGGTCCAACAGAATTCACATATCACAACACATCACTGAGGAGCTTTAAGAGATCTGAGTGGAAATGAAAATCTGGCGACAAATCATCTGGACCCACGGGGTCCATTTGGATGCTCACACTCAGCGATTGCCGTACCGGTTATTCCTGAAATCAGACTGAACGTCAGTAGCACATAGTGAAGCACTACGGACTCGTACGGGGACTATGTCGTGTGTAGTAAGCCGAGCTCGTTTGGATATTCGTGTGCATCGATAGCCTCGGTAGATTTCGGGCAAATCGAAGGAAAATTTATCCCAACGCGAATCGTGGCTTGTTGCCGAGCATAAGCTCGTTTTTCGCAACACAAAAGCGGTACCGGGTCGCATATTTACTACACATTTACTGTCCATGGTGAACTCATTCCGGACAGGCGTTCATTGTGACGGACCCACCCTGATTCAGCGACATTTGCAGCTCGGAAAGTGGATTTTGAAACGAAAAACGATGAACAATTAACACAGAACCACCGCAATGATTCGTCGAGGCTTGTTCGTCTCAAATCCACTCCTCGAGCTGCAAATGAGATTCGCGTTGCACAAGTCACGTTGGGAGTTCAAGAACGACCAGAGAGGAGATTACCGGATGCGCATACCCGACGAGCGGCAAGGACGGCGAAACCGATTGTGGACATCTGGGAAATTTTGCCCAGTCATTCATTGACTATTAAAACACCCCAAATTCATTCTGAATTCTCTCACTCTTTTCTGGTCAAACAGATACCATAATGAACCGACTGTGGTGCACACACACACAAACAGCGGCGTACTTTCCAAGCGTAACGGTCCAGCTGATCGTCACGAAACATCTTTAATCTGTGGACAAATGCGCACGGGCTGTATGACAGAGAATCAGTCACTGGGTTTGTCAATATAGAAGAACAACCCTAGTGAAAAGGTCAAGCGTGTATGGGGAATTTAATGATCCAATCACAAATCCTCCGACGGGAAACAAGTGATTCAAAGCACTCAGTCGGGGGATTAAAATCCGGAGAAATGACCGAAACAAGTGTCACATGTGCCAGACTAGTAGCGTTCAACAATTTGTGCGTATCGATTCAGCCAAAACTGGCAATGAGTGTGCAATCAACCGAATGCGAGTGTCTGCCTAAAGGATTCATTTTACTGCACATAACAAAGTGAACGGGTTGGAAAGTGCGATTCACCTTGTGCCACGGTGCCAGGATAGAGATCGGCAGCCAGCTGTTCGCTCCAAGCTGCACAAACCCTTGTCCCCGGAGGAACATGACGCACAGATGCGGGGAACACTTCAAGTACGGCTTGCTGTACCACCTGCCAGCCGTATAGGATCAAATCACTCTGGCGACGTTTCTTCGGCGTCCCAGCGGTCCCAGTGGAGATCGTTGTAGAACCAAACGCTCCACCATTCGTGCTAGTAGCCCACGCGGGAGATGAAATCCGACGCCCCGGGGTCAGACTAATGCGTGATGGAGATGGGAGTGAGGTGAACCGAGGACTGCCGGGATGCGCTGCTGGTCGTTCCGAGTCCAACTGAATGCGGAATAATTGATCTCTCAGTGAACTTGGGGGCAGAGCGATAGGACTGGGTGAGCTGGTGGAACCTATGGATAAGTGGAGCACAAGACCAGAAGAAAGTTAATTAAAAGTTACCTCATTCCTGGGACGGATAATTGATTATTTTGAACTAATAAAATCAACAGCTTTGGTGACGAAATGAAACCTAGAAATCGGTAGTTACAGAAACAAGCCACCGGTGAGATTAATCAAAGGGCCTAATAATGTAGAATCAGGAACACTGTCATCTAATCAGTAGCGTGTTAAGGGTAGCTTTTTATTTATTTCGATAGATAGAGAGATAAACTGTTCAACTCAAATTCTGCTTCGCATGGTATTCTGGATGGTTTGCTGTTACAAAAACGGCGCATGCACTACAGTGGAAGATAAGAATGTTAACTGTCTCCGTCCGACAAATTAGATATTGTTTGTTTGGTTGATTAGAACTTATCCCACAACACTACTCACGAGTAGTTCTGAGTTAAATAAAAATTAGATATTGGCCAACTACAAACTTTGAGAAAAATTCCTTTCACTGACAATTCGACTGATGTGCTTGTGAGTGGTCATATGAGAGAACTGGAATCGATTCTGACTCATCAGCTTTCATATTTCATCTTCAAGCACAATACTCCATTTCACCATGCATATAGGAAGTGCTAAACTCGAGTTTCGTTCTCTTTCTCTCTCTCTCTCTTCCGAGTTCATAACCAGCACGTATCCGCTGACTACTCATCCGGAACTTGAAATCAGGATCTTCTTCCTGTGTGTGGTGGTGGAGGGGAGAGGGGGGTACCGTTTGATCAACCAGGATTTGCTGCCTTCACAAACTGCCCTGTTCATTCACCAAGCTCCATCACTGAGTCGAAATCGGAACCGGATTGAAACAGCTTCGTACACCGGAAACTGTATTGAAAGTGCATTAGTGGTATAGATCAGTCATTTTATGCGGTAGAGGAGGGGGGTCTCTGAACCCAAAACTGTCATGGAATGTCTGACCTTCGATCGGAATTGACAAGTGGTAGGCTAGGTCAACCTTTGGGTACCACTGAACATCACGGAAGAACGAACTAAGCTCGATCAGTTCGAGTAGTCTATAGGTGTGACCTGGTTAGCCCTAGTGGCAACACCCGCGTTCTTCAGGCGAGGGGATGCATAGGGTTCTGATTTTGGATGAGACGATGGACACTCAACACAAATAAGCTCTGTAGTTAGGATGCTGTCTGTCACCGGTTTACGGAGGAAGGACTGAATGAATTAGGGATTGAGTGTGGAGATCCGAAGTACTATACCATTTAAAGATTAATTTCAAAAACCATCAGTTTGATTAGTGAAACCGTCTTTTTGAATTGAGAAATCATCACTTTCAACTGAGAAACTGTCAAATGAACTGAGAAGGAAACGCTGTAGTTGAATCCGCTTCCGTTCCGCGCACCTCATTGGTCAATTGATCACACGATTTTTCTGCCCACGGATTGCCCACCTGTCTTCCCACGCTCTTTCTGTGTTGAAATGAAGCAGACCTAAGTCTTGCACCTTGCCCAGCTCGCTTGCGGACGTGGATTCGGTGAGTCAGTAAAGCCGTGCGATTTGCGTGAGACAGCTAAACTGGACCCTGACTCGACAAGCGTGAAGGATGACGCAATGTGCACTACAACTGATCGTAGTTGCTCGGACATTGACGACAGCTCAATAACCAAAGCTTACCATAATAACTACGACCAGGGACGAGTTTTTTGCTTACGATGTACTCTGAGCGATGTACTTTTCATTACATGTATCATGGGTCTATTCGAATATCAACATTTGTTCTGTGACGTCGGTTGAAATTATTGAGTTGAACTTGGGTGACTGGGCTGCTAGTCATCAATGACCTCGTAACCAAAACCAGTAACTGCACCTGGCCCATTTCTAGTTCGACGCACAGAACTGAACGAAATAGAACGCAATCGATCCGTTCCGTCGTTGTCAGAAAAAGTATTGCTGGTTAAGGATGAATTACATAACTTTACAGTGGACGTTTTTTCACAAGGTTGCGGTTAGCAAGCCGACTGAGCATAAAACTAATGACCACTGTGGGGAATCTAATAAACTCTTTAATCTTTCGGCAGAATTGTAAGATAAGTCGACGGAAATGAACATCAGTAGTTTTTATATTGGATTTGTTGATGAAGTTAGTGACAGCCAGTCAGTTAGGCAAGCTGATAAATGGTGTAATGTACGCATCAGTTCAACACCGAAGAAAGAAAAGAGGGGAAGTCTTGTCCGTACTACTCAAAACTTATGGGGACTATTATTGAGATCTTTCCGCTTCTGTTGATCCTCGTGATTCAAACTAGTTCGCCTATTGTAAGTGTCGCCCTTCTGCAGATGTGGTCGACCAAAAAAACAAAACTAATCATGTTTACTTTCTGGACTATATAAATACTTTTAACTCCGTTAATAAAAACACCGCGTTACCACCATTATAGTGAGTCAAACCAGTTGACGCTGTTTATCAGTATTACGAAGACTAATATGGTTTCGTCGAAGAATCACCGATAAGCAACTAGAACCAAAGCTCCTGAAGAGTGAATACTCACTATCAAAGTCACCTACCCGATACAAATTTGCTAAACTAATTCTCCGCACAGCTTAGAGGTGATTGATTCAACTCATGGTACGGGCGAAAAGAAGTCGATCGAGTGTGATCGATCGGAGACAGTCGAGGGGAGAATTTTGGTAAATCAGAGAGAGAGAGAGGGAGAGAGAGAGAGAGCGGATACGGGTCACCTAATGGTCTAGCACAAAATACTTTACGTGGAGTTATACAATGGACAATAATAAACTGTGTGAGAGTTTCGAAGTGCTCATTGAGGGACCAGGAGATCCTTTCCTTCGGAATAAAACAACGAAGCGAGGAGGGGAGGGGTGGATCACCAGATAGGCACACGAGTACAATATATGCAAATAAAAAGTGTTTTAATGTGACTGATTGCATGGAGAACTTCGAACAACTTGAGACATTTGAGTGTCATGGCTTTTTGCCGAAATCGATCAACCGACTACTTCAAATGTGTCATTGCCGTCATCATCATCGTACTACAAACCACAGTGAGGCGAACTTCACTGATTGCTGTCAAACTCGTAATGTATACAACGCTACAACGGTACTATTTAAGGTGAACGGGGATTAGACCTAGTTTGAGGGAGGGTGTGTGATCAGAAATACAGCTTTTGAAAAAAAATTTCAAATAGCCTTACATGGAAAATGCATTTCCTCGCTCTCGAAACCAGCCGAAATAACATGATCATACATACCCGGATATATCGCTACCGAGAGTGTGACAAGTCTAAATTCTTTACGGAACGTGGCTGAGCAATAAAATCATTATTTGTGTAACCACTTCTTATCTGTTCAAGAGATGTTGCAAATGTCTATCACATCGCCTTGAGCAGCCCACAAAATCTTCTGAGAAAAGCAGAATCTCACGGACCAGTCCGGTGACCGATGGGCGTCATTGAACGACCTCGTTTTTAGTCCCACACACAAAACCACGCATGTGGGGGCTTCACTGACTCATTGTTGTTCAGTGTGGGCGTTAACGCCCAATCTGCCGACAAGTTACCTTTTTTGGAAATTTTGTACAAGATCATGCGCATGGCGTGCGGACGATCAATAACTAGGTCGGCGTTGGTCGGGTGTGTTTCATCTCCAAAAAAGGACGCGCACTGAGAAGCACGAAACATCCAAATCACTCGGGTAGTGGAAGTAGAAAAAATTTCGCCTTGCTTGTGTCGAGCGAAACTAATGGCAAATACCAGTACTCATTGATTCTACGGTTTCCAGTTGCCACATAATCTACTTCAGTTCAGTAAACCATATTATGTGAAACACTGGACTCACTGTTTTGAGAGGCACGGCTAGAATATAAACGGGAGTAGCAT